CCTGGCACCTACATATGTGGACAACCTGGCACCTACATATGTGGACATCCTGGCATCTACATATGTGGACAACCTGGCACCCACATATGTGGACAAACTGGCATCTACATATGTGGACAACCTGGCACCTACATATGTGGACATCCTGGCATCCACATATGTGGACAAACTGGCACCTACATATGTGGACAACCTGGCATCCACATATGTGGACAACCTGGCATCTACATATGTGGACAACCTGGCACCTACATATGTGGACAACCTGGCACCCACATATGTGGACAACCTGGCATCTACATATGTGGACATCCTGGCACCCACATATGTGGACAACCTGGCACCTACATATGTGGACAACCTGGCATCCACATATGTGGACAACCTGGCATCTACATATGTGGACAACCTGGCACCCACATATGTGGACAACCTGGCATCCACATATGTGGACAAACTGGCATCTACATATGTGGACAACCTGGCACCCACATATGTGGACAACCTGGCATCCACAAATGTGGACAATCTGGCATCTACATACTGTATGTGGACATCCTGGCATCTACATATGTGGACAACCTGGCATCCACATATGTTTTGGAGATTTTCGCCCTTAGCTACAAAATACCTTAAATTTTAGATATTGTTTTGAAGGTCTTCACTTTTGTTTTTTCTTTAAAGGTCTTAGCTTTTAGCTACTAATTTGAAGATGTTAACTTTGAGCTACAATCATAAAGATCATAACTACTTTTTGAAGGTTTTTAACTTTCAGCTACTATATTGAAGGTCTTGTTTTTCAGCTGCTGTTATATCAGTTTCACTGTTTTGCTAATTTAGCTTAAGTTTGGCAAGTTTTTGTTCTGATTATTAACACCTTTAGCTTTTTCAACAAATTTAGCCATTAATAAAAAGGTTTCTAGTGATTAATCTTAATAATTTTTCTATAATAGAAGAAAACAAAAAAAAAAAAAGAGCTTTATGGGGCGCCTATATTGTGCAGAGAAGAATAGCCAGGTTTCGACTTGAGAGAATATTTGGTTAAATTTAAACAATAATAGCTTTTTAAATACTTCTCCTGAGTCTTAAAAAATGAGAACAGACATTTATATGTTCTTTAGCTTCGTAAAGTCAGACTGACCTCACTTCTCAGATTGTAGGCTGGGAAACTTTGCTAAAATTGACAAATAAAGTTTAAAGTGATGCAGCCATATAATGTAGGGGTAAAAATATAAGCTGGAATTATAAATGGCATCATAATTTATGCAGTTTCTACCTAAAACAAACAAATAAATGACAGAAGACTATCTGATGTATTTTCTCTCCTCTTCTGGTGCAATAACTGAGTTTGCTCGCCAGGTCAGTTAATTCCTGAGCATCTGGTGAAAAATAAACATCATGGAGAAAGTTTTAAACACCAGGAGCTTTCACTCAGTTATTTACAGCTTCTAAAAAGTTTCCAGAACTTTCTTGAGCAGCATCCAGATATTAAAACATGAGCCGAAGCTGGAAAAGTGTGTGAGGAAGCAGTTAGTACTTCAGCTGATTTACAGAGGAAGCAAACCTTCTAAAAGTTTTTTTTTTTTCATTACATTATCATGTGAGCTTATTTTTAGCTGTTTAAATGATTATCAAAACCTTCGGCTCATTTAGGAGATGGGTGCTTTTTTGTAACTTTTATTGTATAAAAATATTGATACTATTTTATAAATATTTCCCTATAGAAATACACAGAGCTGTATTAAAGTACTTTGAAAACATTGATCTCTTTGAAATCTGCTTCAGCTACTTGTTCTTTTTTATCTTCTTATGCTACTTTTAGTTACTGTGTTTTTTAAATTTTAGCTTGCCTTTCTTACATTTAGCTTTTAGCATCTAGCATTTGTTACTTTTAGCAAGCCTTTTGGTACTTTTATCTTTGAACTACCCTTTAGCTAGCAATGGCCACTTTTAACCTGTGGCTGCTTTTCACTCGTATTTAGCTCATTTTTGCCTTAAATTTTTAGCTAGTGCTCTGCTTCTTTTAGCTTATATCGTTAGCGACACATTCTAGCATAAAATGAAATATTTCTCGTTCCAGTTGCTGCAGGTTAGAAAACAAACGTCAACAAGGAAGCGGCTTTAATATAATTTATAGAAGACCTTTCAGACATTAGTTTCTTTTTATAAAACAGCTGGTTGTGATAAAAACTTGAATTACAAAAGTGTTTTGGTAACCGGAGTCCTCTGCTACAGGCTGCTGCACAAACACATTTTTATATCAGGTGCAGAAACTTTAACACGATGCTGAACGTCAAACGGGCGTCGAGCTGATCTGAGATCAGTTCAGTTGGTTGTTCAGGTGCGAACTCGAATGAAAAGCCTGGATGTCCTCCCCGATGAACTCCGACACTGAAAAAAGGAAAATAAATCATTTTAATCCTTTATTTTAATTAGTCACACAGTTACACAAACGTATAATAAACCGATCTCACCTTCTTCAAAGGTGATGTGGTGAATCGAGGCAGAGGTGGTGAACTCCAGAGGGCACTCCTGGATCTTTGCATCCCCCTCCCCCGCTTGACGGGTGCCCAACACCGCCCCATGAGGGTCCCAGCCCTCGTAGTGGGTGTAAGGTGCTGGGCAGGTGTCCTGATAGGGATTGGAGGGAGGGGAGGGACACACCTCCGGGGGATAAGTGGAGCACTGTGGAAAGGGTGAGGTGGGAACAGGAGGCAGGGGGGAGTTTGAGATTGGACTTTCTGTAGGAAACGGACTGAGAGAGGAGGAGTGGGACGGGGAGGGGGAGGAGGACAGATAGGGGGAGTCCAGCCATGGGGACGGAGATGGGGAGGAAGGCTGTGGGATACGGGGGTACAGAGGGGGGAGGAGCTCAGTGAAACCCAGCTCCAGGTTCTCAAAGCTGGGGTGACGCTCAGACAGGGCCGCCCTGGACCCACCGGGCTCCTCCACCGGGGCGTCCGGTTTGGAGCACAACTCCTCGTGGTAGCTGATGGCCGGGCAGGGAGGGGAGTAGGCAGAGGGGTAGGGGGGCAAATGGAAACCAAGGCCTGGATCGTCTGACACGTGGAAACCTCTGTCCATCCCGGGTGGAGCCCCCACCGGATACACAGAACCCCCGTCCAGAGGTGGCGCCGAGGGCCGGGACAACAACGGATCCTCCTCTTTAAACATAACTGGGAAGAAAATAAATAAATATTAATTTATGACTATAAAAATACAATTCCTATTGTTTGTCCTGTCAAAAGAGCGGCTACGACTGACTGAGTAAATATAATAAAACACCTCATAGATTAAAAAGCTAACAACATTTTAACACAATTATTGCATCATAACCTGGAAATGGTTTATACCCATAACTTTCAATCGGTCAAAGCTAGACTTTAAAAACGGCAACTTTCCAAACCCAGAATCACCTTATTTAACCTCGTTGCCACCGCTCCCCCCAGCAAAACACTAATTACTAAACTGAGGAAAAACAGTAGCTAAAAACAAAGATTAGCACAACATTGACTCAAAGCAAAGAGTAGCTAAGCATCAGTGAAAAGCAAAATTACCTTAACAGTAGCTATAATCAAAAACAGGCAAAACAGTTGCTAAAAGCTATAATAAGCAAAACAGCAACAACATTAGGATCAGCAAAGCAGCAGCTAAAAGCAGCTGTTAAATTAATGCTAAAATTTAAAATCCCCCATTCATACAAAACATAGAAATAACAGTTAAAAAAAAAGTTACAAATACCAAAAATCACAGCTCCTATCTTCTGAATAAATTGATCTTTGTGACATCTTAGTCACTTAAATTGCTTCAAGTATGCCGAAATAATCAGATGCAGAAAAAGGCACCAAAAAAAATTAAGGAAAACAATAAAAGGCAGGATTATTGTTGCAGGATTATTAATCCTGCAGAGTGTCTGTGATTTTCATGTCATTATAAATAAAATTGATGGCTGCAACAATGAAAAGCTGAAATATAACATGCAGACTAAATAAAATAGAGATCAACAAGCCGTGTCCTGACTCTCACCAGGTAGATACTTGAAGCATTGAGTGCTGCTCCTTTTTCTCTTCCCGTTAGAGACGTATAGACTGATGGACACGGGCCGACTGATGGAGAGATCGCTGTAGGCTGGAACCCTCACACGCAGCAAGCACTGTACGGGATAACAGTTACACGTAAACTAATAAATAAAGACGAGGAATCGGAGTGGTGTGACAATTATCGCATCATTCTGCATGTGACGGTCATGAAATTACCTCGTTGCTGTTGCCACGGTCAATCTGTGCCTCTTCCTCCCACTGTAATTTACCATCTGATATATGAGAGCAGACAAAAACAAACAGGCGTAACACAGTCAAGTTGATGAATAAACACTTTGTCTCAAACAGGCATCTGGCTTCCTACAACTTTAAATAACTGATAGCTAGAAATTATAACTTACAGTGAGAATACGAAGACTTGGAATTATGCAAAAAAAAAAAAAGTGCAATACAATACGATATGTTGCGATACAGAAGAATAGGGATATGATTCGATATATTACTATATGTTACTATCTAGTTGAGTCAGGTTCTCTGGACGGGTTCTTCTTTGCAGTAACATTTCATTTTTTTTATCCAAAAGACTTCTCCAGTCTGAGGAGCTGCGAGCAAACTTCGCTCCAATACAACAATACAATTTGTAACAATATGATACATTGCAATATGTGGTGATAGAAGATGGTACTACATACTATTGCAATATGTTACAATACAAAAGCACCCTATGATATGATATAATACGTTAAAATGCATTACAATACAATGTTCAATACAATTCAATACATAATATGTAACAATATGATACAATGAAATATGTGGCAATAGAAGATACTACTATACACTATTGTCAGAAAATTTTTAGTCAAATGTTTTGGATGTTTGTAACATGATGGTTGAGAACAGGAAGCCCAAGACACTATCTTATCTCTGCCCATGAACCATATTAATGAATTAATGGAGAGTGCTGGGTGAGAAGGCTGCAGCTGTCTCCAAGGATGCCTCCTGAGCACTGTGAACTGGGCTGAACTGATAAGGCTGATAAGGGTATAAAAGCGAGCGGAGAACGCAGCTTGAGGCAGAATCGTGTGACAGGTCTTCATGTGTGTACATTTTATGTACATTTATGTAACCTGTCCTGAAAATCTGGCCTTGCAAGTAAAATGCCAGTTAAAAATCTTCTTCTGCCGTCAAGTGTGGTTCTTTTTGAATAAACAACGTAAGCGAGAGTATTTTTCTCTGGCAATTTTTTTTTTCATTCAACCTTTATTTATACAGGTTAATCCCACTGAGCCACGGGGACTCGTTTACAAGAGAAACCTGATTTTAACAAAGAGTAGACAACAAAGACAACAGTAGACAATCATAAAAATCATGCACAGTGAGAAGAACAAATAAAAGAAAATGGTATTAAAAAAAGGAAACAAAAAGAGCTAGATTATAAGGCGGTGTAGAAAACTAAAAACAGGAACATGTCTGTTGGTTTTTGCCAGGAACTTAGCAGATGTTTGAAGCCACTTGGTCTTTTTGCAAGATATTCCAGGAAACAGGAGCGGAGTAGGAGAAGCTATACTGCAATATGCTAAGTTGCAATACAATACATTACCCTACGATACGATATAATATGTTACAATTCATCATGACTCAATACAATACTTTTTAATAAGATATCAAACACAATACATCAATTTTTACTCTCACAATCAGCTCTAATAAAAACTATTAACTGCATTTTTATACAAATCTAGACCAAAAATTAGACAAGCATTTAACTTGTAAATATGAAAAAATAAAGACCAAGATGTCTATTTCTTTATTTTTAATCTATTTATTATGACTGGTGCAGAAAACATTAAACAAATCAGGCAAAAACCCAACAAAATTATTTTTGTTTCTGCAGGTAAAAAATACATATTGTCGAAATATTTTACTGGTTGCAATGTCAAATCGTCAACGAAAAAGTAAATAAGATGAGTCGTTCAAAATGCCTAGATCAAGATGTTCGGCTGTGAACTCTTTTCACTGTAATAAAAAAACCTTTGCGTTTGTGAAGCTATCTACCAAAAGACAAGCAGAATATAAACGCAAAGCAACCATTGTGACTAAACTTTTAAACCTGTATTGAAGGTTTCTATAAAACCAGCTGGCTGTAAAGCAGCGACTGTGAAAAACTCAAACAGCATTGGCAAGCTGTTTTATTACAGAAAAAGAACAAATGGATCAGCACAACAAAAAGGTTCTTGTCTAAAGTTTTATTTTCTTACTCCTTGGACCCTCTGGCATTCTCCATTTTTAAATACCCACAGTTAATCAAGCTGATAGATCAGCTTTTCTGGTTTGCAGATCTATTTATTTGTCCTTTTTCCTTGATTATTTTTAATATAATCCCATCCAAAATGAGTTTTTATTACACTGCAAAAGGTTTGACTTTGTCCGTACAACTGTTTTGCGGCTCAGTGATTGTGTTGGAGGGGTTGGTGTAAAGGTTGGACTCGTACCTGTGCCTCTCTCCATGAAAAGGACTCTGGACATCGGCAGGAAGTTGGTCCCACTCAGCAGCAACTCCTCTCCTCCTTCCACTGAGCAGGAGGTGAGACTGACGGACTCGATGACGGGCAGCTCCTGGGCTGAGCGCTGAGCTGAGGCACAGAGGGAAAAAACACACACATTATGAGCTCTATGGTCTGTTACAATAACACTCAGTATCATCACACACTGAGCTCTACAGACT